CTTTTCAACGACTAGCAACTGCCCAGTAAAAGTTGCCAAGAGGAAAAGCTGGAGGTTTTGGCAGCTGGGTGGGAACAGATGACAATCTTGGAATAGATGGGCAAGAGTATTGAGCTTTGTTGTTGTTGTTCAGGAAGTAATGAAGGCTTTTGGCAGTGGGAAGAAGATCCATCGTTCGAATCTTGTTTTAGGGTTAAGGATAAAAAATAGCATGGCATTTMAGGCAGGGCAGATAAGTTTTGAATCTCTTATTCCTCTTAACTTCAGGGCTGCCCCACAACATCCAGTTCCATTTCTGCCTGTAGTATCAGCAATGCAAGTATCAGTGTCACTCAGACCTTTTGCTATTTTGCTGCACAAAGAAACACTGATACTGTGCACTGGACCTGGTGCCACTGTTTGCTCTGAGCTTGAGTAAATGACGATGGCACTGACCTTAGTGTTACTGTTTTCAGCTGTCTTCGGGTTGAAAACAGTTTCTCCTCCAATGGAGTCTTAGATTTTCACTGTTATTTAAAGATGAGGCCCCTTTTTTACATGCCAGTGGAAAGCAGTGGGGTCATAATGGAAGTTGAAATTTGACCTTCACTACTGCATGTATAATTCCGCTTTGCTTGTGTAAATTACAAAGAGAATCCTTTCAAGTATTGTAAACAGACCTGGTAGATCAGACCTGCTTGTCAGCCACATTCGACATTTTCATTTTCTGCCACAGCCTGATCTAAGTATCCAACTTCCTAATTATGTTTTGGATAACTTCCAGGTTCAGTGCTTGATGTCCAATTATATCTGCAGTAAAATGGCATTTAGAAGTAACTAGCACTTCCAGATAAGAACATCTGATGATCTGCTAGAAAAATGTGGAATCAAGATATTATAAAATATTTCAGCATCAGTAAAACAGAGGAGCCCAGTGAATATGTTKATAAGGTGTCTTCCCTGATCTTCCATCCTCAAAATATTGTATTTAGGCTTTTTTTTTTTTTACCCTTGGCAGAACTTCACCGTTGCCATATTGTCCTGTCTTTAACTGTGCAAAACGCCCAGGAGTTTGAGTGCTTTAAAGACTGCACAGCATGGGCAGGTGCTTCTCAAGTGACCTGTTATTTTTCAAACATCTGTATGTATGGTGAAATTCTGATACACAACATGGCTGTCAACCAAGACTAGTTCTTTGCACAATGTGTTTCATAAATAATCTTTACTTTCAGCAGATGAGCTGTAGAGATAAAAATGCAACTAGATTAGAGGTCATTCCTTTCTCAGATGGCAAATGTACTGAAATACTGAATTTTCCTCAAGCAGTGCTACTGCAGACTCTGAGAGGACAAATGAGTAGTAGGTCTTTACCAGGCATAGGACATCTTTGCAGTAGATATTTTGTACTGTCTGAGGATCTGTTACTGCACATGGAAATGTCATGGTGTGCAGTTTGCCTGTATTCTGCCACAACATGTGCCCCAGAGGACTTGGATGATAGTATAATAYGGAGAACAAAGAGATGTTTTGAGTTACTGGGAGGGAACACACAGCATTTCTTGCAGGTGATGGAAATGTTCCTCTGCTGGGGAAGTCTTTTTTGCAATTKTATTAAAAATTGAAAAATCAGACTGACTTGACAGGATTGTCGACATGCCAGTCTGCTGTCCATTTCTATCTGGCTTTCTTCAAGCACGTGGGCCTTGCAAAGTCACATCCCATTGTTTGTCAGCTGTGAATCATCATTTCTTTTAACTGGTTAAATTGAAGAGCAAAGTGCAAGGAGAATGACCCTCATTAATCAGGGCAGATGGGTTGAATTAGTGGGTCACTTTTTTATCCCTAGCCAGTGAAACTGTCTTGGCAGCCAGCAGCCATCAAGAAGCCATCTTCTTCTTCCCTTTGCAATTTTTAAAGTCTGTTGCTGTGTGTACTACAGGCACTGGGTAAGAAACTTTAATACCCATCACGTTGCCTGCAGTGTAGCTACTAAAGGGTAGTCGGACTTTGTGTCATGTGTGATGTACTCCATCACAAAGCTCCTTCTCTTGCACCAGTGGTGAAAGAAAAGCTGGACATCCAGTGGAACTTTCACAAGAGCAGCTYACTTCTGTCTGAGATATTCTTGAACTATTTTCCTGCCAGGCTGGTAAAGGAAGTAGGAAGGAAAAAAAACCAAAATGGTTTTTGTTGTACTCAGGAGCAAATAGCTTTGTGGGAACGGAGACCAAAGAACCAATGCTGCCCCTCCTGGTGGTCCACCAGGCTGGAGTGGGGACCTTGGTGGTCTCAGCCTGACTGGTTTCTACAGATCACAACTCGAGACAAGGCAGTGGGCTTAGTTGGCCTAAACATTGTCACACGAGGGCAAGGAGTGAAGAAAGCAGGCTGGTTTCTAAACCCTTCCTCCCCACTCCCTGGGAGATTTGGACCACAAGGAGAGAAGGTCGCATAAGGTACTTGGCATAAGCTGGGAAGTGCATACGGGGAAGGATGCTTTGTTTCTGTCACCAAAAAAAAAAAAAAAAAAAAGCAGCAGCAGGTAGGGCCCTGGCAGGAGGTAAGGGAAGGGCTGTTGCCATAACCCCCATCGCCAGGCTTTGTCTGCCATGCAGATTAGGTGCGGGGCTTTTCTGGCTCAGCGCTTCTAGGCTCTTCCCTGCTATTGACTTGGTGGAGAGGCTGAGGGGAGGGGGGTGGGAGGGAGGGACTGCATTATATTGTTTCTTTGAGTTGTTTTTYTCCCCCCTTCTATGGGGAGATGGGCTTGATCCACTGGTTTTGGATTTCAGAGGCAGAAGGCAAGACATGACCAGCTGGTGTCTTGAAATGGCACAGGTGCAGTGGCTGCGGGAGGGGGGAGCCAGGAATAATTACAGGTTTGTGAAGCATCAGACTTTGCCTGAAAAGGACTCATCGAGAAACTGCTCTTTATGGAAAATTAATGGTGAAGCTGGAAAAACTGTCAGGCCCACTATTGTTGTCATAGGGTAGTGATGCCTTAAAGGAGCAGCACCTCCTGCTTGCCTCCCCTCCACGGGCAGCCCAAAGCTGGCATGCAGCTTTTCTGATCCCACAGCAATTGAAATTTCATGTCACTGTCATCAGATTTAATGGCCTTGAGTCCTTGTCTCTCTTCCCTGCTGCTGCCCTCCCCCTTTCCACCCCTAATTTGTGATTATGCTTGCTCTTTGCTTTGGAAGCCTTTCATTTATTGGGCCCTAAACCTGTTTCTGCCCCACTAGATGAAGGCTAAGTGGACCAGAAAGCCCAGATTACATGATTGGAGAACACAAAAGCATTGTTTCTCCTGGTGGTTGTTATTGCCATGTTGGAAAGCTTCTCCCAAAACCCATTAGGATTTATCTGGGGAGAGACCAGAAAAAAAAACAGCTAAAGCTGTTTTCTTGGTCCCAGAAATGTACCTTATAAAGAAAACTGAAAGGTTGCTTAAGGCAAGTACAAATATTAAGTGTCCCACCCCTAGGCCTGTGTGTAGATAGTCTCAAAACTCTGAAAATTACCTATGTGCTGAAGTACAGCATGTCTCACTTGCATATATTCTGTTCTGTTGCTTTTTGTCCATCTCTACAGCTCAGATCTATAATCAGCTATTRTTTAAAAAAGAAACAACAGGGAGCTGTGTGTCAAATGTCGTTGTGAGCTCTGAAGGTCATTCTACCACATTGTATCTGCAACCAACAGTGCTGCATCCTGGGAGCTTTGAAAGTAATAATCTCAAATTACCTGGCAGTTCCTAGAGAGCTGTGGGGCCTCTTCATACTCCTGTTGATGGGACCTTTGTACTTAGAAGGCAGGAGTACCTGTCTCTCCTTTGGTCATATGAAGCTTTTAGTTCTTGATCACATGCTGGACTCTCCAGATTGAGATGTAGCTGGGTCACCATCTCTCATAGATTGATTTTTTTTTTTTGCCTAAAACTCCTTTCTTAATATTGTCAGAAGTGTTCTCTGAGGAGTAGTTTTTAGAGATTTCTAAAACATTAGTTAGAATGTCTCTTTCTCCAAGTCCTGTGAAATCACAGTRGTGGTATTAAACCAGCTATCCTTTCAAGCAGCGAGAAATGAAAGACAGTGCTAATAAACTCAATTAAAAGCTCCTGAAACTACAGCAARTGGTTCTCTATAAACAATAAAAGTTTATAATGTTGGCTGTGGAGAATACTGGGCAGTGCTTTGGTGCCTGGAGTCTTTATTGGGGCAAGCTGAGGGCACTTCATAATAAAGCTCATTCACKTAGGAGGCTCATCCCATTCTTGTGCTGATGATCACTGCTATGGAAGTGAAGGAACAGATTTTTATGTGGCAGCCTCYTTGTAACTTCACCTACCTTTTCATAAGGGTATGTGTGTTTGTGTGCAAGTSTGGTGTCTTGTCCACAGGAAGCTCCAGATGTTCCAAAACCCCCTSTAAAACTGACAGTAGATCCTTTATTTCCTGTCACCTTTCCTTCTCTCAGGCCCTTGAAACAAGCTGTGGTCTCACTGGAAGTTTTTCTACGTCCTATCTTAAAATGCCACGCTTCAGACTCATGCTGTTTTAGGAATAGATTGGGCTCCTGCCAACTACGCTGAGTTAAATTTGGAGAGAAAGTTAATGTTTGTGAATGAAGAGGAAGCAGTTATTTGGAGAGGTGACTTTTTGTTTGTACATGGCCAGATGATGGGTCTGTTAGGAGAGTTTCATTTGCAAGTGACTGTTTGACAGATTATAAAGTTGGGAATGCCCTGGTACCCATGGAACAATGTACAGACTTTAATGAAAATGTAACAGAATCTGGTTGTCGAATCTTCACTTCTGCTGTAATACCTGCTGCCCTGTGTGGGTATGTATTCCCATATCTCGGAGCAGCCCCAAACAAGGACCAAATATTCATGTCTCCCAGTGTGTGACCATCTCACAAGAAGATGTTGGTGTTCATGAATGCTGTCTTGGAATGCMTGTGGACCGTGTTGTTGTCCTGCCCTTGGTGGCAGCTATATTGTAATCTCTCTCTAACAGTGGTTTCTCTCCCTCCCCCTCTGCCTTTCCTTTCTGCAGACATGCCTGGAATTGGAGCGATACCTTCAGACTGAACCGCGGAAGATCTCTGAGACTTTTGGTGAGGATTTGGACTGCTTTCTTCATGCCTCCTCAGCTCCAGATGCAGAGGACAGTATCCGACGGCTGGACCCCATCCTTTTGCCGGTGGAGACGAGTACATGTGACAAAAGCACCAACATGGACATTATTCTGTCACGTGACAAACTGCTGTCTGAGACGTGCCTCCGCTCGCAGTCCACCAGCTCTTCCACAGAAGGCTACACAGCCGTCAATCAGGCCCAGCTCAATGCAGTAACCTCATTAACCCCTCCTTCCTCTCCAGAGCTCAGCCGCCACCTCGTAAAAACCCCACAGACTCTCTCAGCGGTGGATGGCACAGTGACGTTGAAATTGGTAGCCAAGAAAACTTCACTCAGCTCGGTGAAAGTGGGTGTAGCAACAGCAACTGCGGGGACAATAAAAAGTGGGCAAAGTGACAGTGAGCAAGGAGGTACAGGGACAGAAACATCCCCAGAAAATAAGAAGAGGGTTCATCGCTGTCAATTTAACGGGTGCCGGAAAGTTTACACAAAGAGCTCCCACTTAAAGGCTCACCAGAGGACTCATACAGGTACTTACGTAGGATGCTTCTCTTACCTTGTCCTCCTGCCACCTACCTGTAACCATCTGCTTTTATTCTCATTTAAAAAGAAAAAAATCTCCTCTGAAAGTCTGAGCTTCTGTCTATGAAACAGGGTAGTGGAAAATATGGTAGGCCAGTAAATGTACCCATTATTCKGTAGAACAGGGGAGTTTACCACCTACCATTAACCTGTTGGAGTTTCATATGTCTTATGAAGCTTGATGCAGAGTAATTTTAAGATACCCAAGGGTTGTAGATGTATCGTGTTAAAACTATATGCATGTCACTTTAAGGTTTTGGCACTAATTTCCCCAAGACAACTTTTGCTAAGTGTTATTTTCTTCAAATAGAAAATAGCATGAGTAGATTTTTGGTACCTTTTGTATGGGAGAAAAAGAAATGTGATTCGGATCTTATATATGTGGTTCAGGAATAGTCTTGTGCATGAGGCAGCATGTGTAGATACAGAGGTATGCAGAGGCACATACCCGTCAGATACTCATGATCTTGCACTTCGCCGGTGCTAAAATATACTGAGAAGAAATAAAAGAATGACATGGAGTTTGAACGAAATAGTGTAGGTAGAGAGGAAATAGGATGTATGGATAGATGTGAGGCTGCTATTTTGGGTAACATTTACAAATGTTATATATATGTGTGTRTGTGTTAGCTCRTTGAAGCATATTGAATTGGGTTGATTGTTCAGGTTCCCTCCTCTCACTTCCTCACAGTCCCCAGTAGCTTTTCAGCTGGTATTCAGTGGCATTAATAGCTATGCAATTCACACACATTGCTGCTTTGTTCYAAGCTTCACACATGATGAGAGTTGATAAATTCCCATTAGCACTGTCTTATCATGTGATTATTCTTGTTTCCRGAGGGATTGCTATAATCAGTTTTCTCAGTTTTACTGTAAAATGTGTGGTCTCTTATGATAAATGCACACTTGTTTCACAATCCTTTCATGCAGGCAGATTCCTAGAAGCAAAGGTTGTTCTTGCAAGGTAGAAAGTAACACTTTGGACCAATGCAATAAATCAGACAAATATGTGGGTTGTTAAGAGAGCTGCATCCATTACATACTAGGCAGTACTGTAAAAGTTACACGGTCTGAAGTATAAATCACAGTAAGACATAAAAGGCATTGATCTTTTTATATGGGCTTTCTAGTGCTTTTACTGGGGATAGCCACCTTGCCAGGAGTGACCTCACCTRCAATTCAGTGATTTGAAAGCCAGTGAAAGTAGAACAACCATTTAAAACTCAGCATCAACGTGGTGTTAGTTCCTTGTAGTGCCAATGCTGCTGTGAGGGTTTGTCCCTGCTGGAGSTGGCCAGTGGGATGTCACAGCCAAGGCCTTCCAGCAGACTGTGGAGCTTCCATGAAAGCGTGAATGAAGAGTGTGAGAGCTGTTGTGACCCAGTTGTCTTGTCTATTCAGGTGTGACCCCTATGTTCCTCCTTGAGCTGGAAGTGATGGATCTTACRCAGCTTTTCTTGAAGTCAGTCAGGGGTATGACACAATAGCCTAGAAAGGGTGAACTTGTGAAGTTTTCCTGGTTTTGTCAGTCAGATGGTGATATGGACAAGGAGTCACGAGGAGCACTTGCAAAAACTACTAATCTCTCAACACYTGTACCCTTTTGTGTCAAAATCTTGTAGGAGTTTGCATGCTTTTGTACTGAGCCTTGGGTCTGGTTGAATTTTCTGGGGTCAAAACCTTTCCCCTCTAGTATCACCACGTGAAATCTTATATTTTACAATTAATCCATGATGAGCAACGTTTCTCACTGGCTCTGTGATCTTTCTGTTGGATAACCTTGGACCGTACGTGGTGCTGTGACATGCCAAGCCTGCCCATCCACAGCACTGCTAGACGTGGTGAGAAAGGCACATCTGCCTTTGCTCACAGATGGGGCAGACCTTTATCAGATGATGGGACTGCAGCTGCCTGGGTGCAGAGTCCAGATCTCCATTCCCAGCAYCTCAGCTGGTGGAATCAGCTACTCCTCTGATCTTGCCAGTTAAACCATCACTGATTTAAACAGCCACTAATTATGGGAGTATTTCTGCTTCCATTCACCATGTCCCAAGCAGATAGCATAGGAAAGCAGGAAGGCAAAAATCAAGAGGGGATACAAACCTGGATGATGATTTCTCCTGTCTTAGCAGCTGTGAAACCATCCTGCCTCTAACCTAACTGTGCACAGCTTTGTATAAAGCATGGTTTCCCTTTGTGATGAGGACTGAATGCAGCCTTATTGTTAAAACACATCTTTGATGCAGCACCTGGGAGCAGGGAACCTGTCTCTCATTTTTGTCTGTGGAAAGAAAATTGTCGAAATACCTGTATTCAACAGGTATATTTACATCTTAGGAGGAAATTGAGTAAATCGAGGGAGGAGTGTGCTAGGTTTGTCTAAACAGCTAATTGGAGTCTGGAGCACAAAGTCATTCAGACCTCTTCACACTGCTTACATGCTCTTTTCCCCTAAAACACACTGRCTGTTGGATGCCCTAAATGAGTTCTGGTATAATCAAGACATTAAATGTGTTGACACTGACCTCTTCAGTGGGGTTTCCCCACAGGGAGATCCTGCCTTTGGTAAAAGAGTGGGACAGAGAGGAATAGCTGTGGAAATTTGGGACTGAATTGTAAATGTCAGGGCTGTCTCCYTTCCCCTGCAGCCTTCAGGGCATGGGACAAGGAGCCCTTTTCTCCATGGGTGATTTGTTTTTTTTCATGCCTGAACTGAGTGTGCTGTGGGTTGCGAATGCACCCAGCAGTGCCAATGGCTAGTAGCCATTTGGCTTAGTCAGTGTCTGAGCCAGAGGGCCTGAAATGATTGTGAGATATTTTCCTTTGGCTGGTGGTTTGTTARTGTGTCATGCGAGAGCAGTCTGCCAGTTTGGGCTCTGTGTAAAAGGATGTGAGTGCCCTGACAGACAAAGAGCTCTCAATGTGGGSTTCACAGGCAGGGAGGCAGATGTGGGCTGGTCACTCAGCTTGCACGTGCAAAGTCCACTTGCTGGATCAAAGGGATTTACTGCAGTGCATGAAAACAAGAAACCACGGGCCAGGGAGCGGCTGGGGGGTGGAAGGCAGCGGAAGGAGGCTGCATTCCTTTCGTTCATATGTAAGGCTGACCAGACAGATGCTGGCTGGTGTTCCTTGCTGCTGCGTGATGGGCCAGGCTGGGCTTCAGGCAATGCAGGCTGATAGCATCTCCCTAGATCGGGAATAATCCTCTCTTGGTCTTTTACTTTGCTAGGAAGCCCAGAGGCAATCAGACCCCACATTACACRTCGTGCATCTTCTACATTAGTCTCCCATATCTCATCTGCAAGAGAATCAGGACAGCACTATAAGGCCCATCAGTGGTCGAACTGGTTATGAAACCACCTTCTGGCTGACCTTTGGAGAGGGAAAAACAATCATCTGTGTGGGAGAGAATTTAATCTGGAAGGGAAAGGGAAAAACATTGTCTGTATGGAAAGGGAAATGAAAATATTTGACTGAACTCAAAGCAAGCAGGGGCATCTGAAGTTAAGGGTGCGTAAAGGAGCTAAGAGCSGTGGGASTGACTTTCAGAGTGCAGCAAAGAARCCCCTCAGGGAAGAAACAGCAGCTGGGCCTCTAAACAGGAGGAAAAGGTGAGTTGTAGGTTTAGAAAAACCACACTGCCAGTGTGAGGGTGAAGTAAAAACAACCATAAAGGAGCAACCAGGACTGGCATGTTAATTTAACCCTAGGACATTCTCTCACGGTTATTCATGGAGCATACATCAGCGCAAACAATGACATTTTCTGTTTTTTTGAGAGAGGAAAATTTTCATCCTGCCTTCACACATGCATGGAGATGAATTGTCAGTGTAATGGAGAGGGAAGGAATTTGAATGAGCCAAAACCCATGTATAATCATCAGTACTTCCTAAATTAGGAAACAGGATATTGCTGGAGAGTGTCTGAATGCAAATAAGTCTAAGGGTGAGCTGGCCTGTGACCTATGGAAAGATTAGTCATGGGATGTGACTGTGTCTCWCAGATCAAAGACTGCTGGAGATTTCTATCTCCTGACAAAACCATTCCTATCAGCCTTCCTTGCACTAATGTACAGGGAGAGGGTTTAAGATGGCTTGGATACTTTCTGACCAGGGATGATGCATCACAATGAAAACTGACATAGGAAATCTGTAAGATTGGGACAGTGATAAAAAAAAGTACCTTTATGGGGTTCTGCTAGGATTTGCATATTGTGAGTGTCTGAAGGCTTGGTTCCCCCCCCCCCCCTTTTTTTTTCCCCCATCCAAAATCAGGATTTTATACAACCCAAGCTCAAGTCTGAGAAACAACAGCTGGGTACCTGACATCTATATTTAGGTTTGTAAGGGCTAAACAAGTGGGAAATACCCATGTAAACAGATGTTACCAGTCTACATGTGATCTTAAGATAGCGCTTCTTCAAGTGGGGTTTGTTTCACRTTGTCAGGACATTTTAAATTATATAGTTGTTTGATCCAAAATGCTGGGTGAGAGTAACTAAAATAAACAAATCCACCCTGCAGGAAAACAAATTACTACATTTGCAAGAAAAAGATGAGACACACAAGAGATTAGAAAGAACATTAACTTACAGGAAGGTTYTTAAAATGGTATATAAAACAAGAGAGAAGAACTTTGCCCAAATGTTGGAGATAAAAGGGGAAATATCTGGAATTTGGAAATTATTGGATGAGACAAAATGGAAGAGACTAGGCTGGATGACAGAAAAGAAGATTAATACAAAGTAAAGGAATAATAGAGTAAATAAAAAAGTCTGTGTCAGTGATAGCACAGGAATGGGAAGCTGCATTGCTGTATTGTGTTAGTGTRGTAGCATCTGTGAACAGAAAGCCAGTGAAGAAAAGGAAAAAGCATGTGCCAAGCACAGCACCAATTCTGCAGGATGTAAGACTTTGAATAATGACTTAGGGAAAAGCATTTKGGA